TCAAGACTAGTTGTCCTTGTGACAACTTAGATTACTATAGGCTTGAACCATTTTCTATTTGTTAACAAATCAATTCAATTGCTTATTGATTATATCTATTGGAATCTATGAAGATTCATCTCATATTCTATATGTCTTTTTTTGAGCTATGTAAGACAATGAATATCTTGAAAAGAAAATAAATGCCAATTTTTTCTTGTAGAAGTGGATAATTATCAAGATTTCAAGATAGAAGGAATTTTAGACTTAAGGCAGTGCCAAAATAGGTTGGAATATCTTGTTCGTTGGTGCAGATATAATATTAGTGAATTAATATAGGAGCCAGTTAAGAATCTTGTAAACGCAACAAAGAAGATTGATGTTTTTTTATTGATGACATCTATCAAAACCAAGATAAAAATAGGAAATCTTTGCTACAAAAAAATGCACTTTAAGAAAGATTGTATTTCATCTTGTATCTTTGTTTGTACTTTTTTTATATTTGTGGTGCTAAAAAAATAAAGAATCAATAACCAGCAAATTCAATTCAAAAATTATTATTTTTTGACTTATTAAACAAGACATTACAATTGTCATAGCTTTTAAGACAACATAATCAAAATAAAGATCTTCAAAAATGATAAGTTTTCTTTCAAATAGATAGCAATATATAACAAATTTGATATCATGACTTTAGAAAAAATGTCCAATATTTGGTGATTTAATCAGATGTAAAAATAATTCCTAACACTCTTACAAATATTTTGTTTCAAAGAAGTTACTAAAGCCTCAACAACGACCAAATAATAGGGTAGTCTTTACATCCTACAATAAAACATTATCAATGGCTGAAAAGATCTATCAACTACCTTCAAAAGAAACAAAGATCAACGTATATGGAAAATATAATTCATTGCATCTTTGACTTCTTTAATATATGATGATTGCTTTCTATAAAACTTATCGTTAGAAGAGTAGATAATGTCATAAAATATATATTTATCTAGATAAGAAATACTATGTATGAGATAAGTATAGATAGATTTGATATTATCTTGGATATATGGAAAATATAATTCATCGCATCTTTGACTTCTTTAATATATGATGATTGCTTTTTACAAAACTTATCCTTAGAAGAGTAGATAATGTCATAAAATATATATTTATCTAGATAAGAAATACTAGGTATGAGATAAGTATAGATAGATTTGATATTATCTTGTGGCAAAGTTGCATATATATATATATATATATTTGATTTTATACATGTTTATAATTAATTGATAGATTAAAAACATGGCCAAGAAGTTAGCTATGTGTTGCAAGAGTAGGTATCTTATGATATAAGCTAACAATGTGGTACATACATGGAAAACTTGTCTTATAAGTTAAGACATGTATCTTTTAAATTCGACACATATTTGAAGTTATATAAGATGTTGTTACGTAGCTTCTAGTTGATAATATATATAGAGGCAAGAGTGAAGCCTTCTTCACTCTTATCAATGTGTTTCTTGTCCTTAGTCTTATTTCAAGACTTTTTAGTCTTCTTGTCTTTGGCAATAGCTTTTCTAATTTAACATTATACCATCTTTGAGTGATTTTTTTAGTCTTTCTAAGTAATATAAGAGTATATTGATTTTTTTAGTTTTTAAAGATTCATATCCTTGACAATTAATTAAGGCAATATTTATTAACAAAAATTTATTATAACTATAAATTCTTCAAAACTTATTTTTTAAAAATTTCATAATTTTATTTCAATAAATATTTTTTAATAAATATCTTTTAATAGGTATGGTTTTAATTTAATAAACTTAATGTATGTATGAGATATAAGAATGATTATTTCAATGAAATCATATGAGTTGTATAAAATAAATAAAAATAAATACTTTAGTAAAATTATCAAACATGCCAATTTTTAAATTCTAATTTGATTTTTGGAATTATATAAAATAATAAATTACTACTTAAATTGCTTATACAAATTAGATAATACTAACTTCTTTAAACTTTAGAACCAAATACACATATATGTATATTTAATTATAATCCTCAAAAAAAAATTCTACATTTTGGTTTTATTCCCTTATATACTTATTTTCAAATAAAAAAAATTTATCATATACAAAATAAAATTTAAAACAGTTTTTTAAAAAATAATAATAATTTTTTCTATTTTCTATAATTTAATAAATATGCTAGCTAAATAAATTAATAATTATTCGTATTATGTGTAGAATACTTATAAATAATTTTTTATTATATAAATATAAATTGGAAATAATTAAAAAAATATATTAAATTTTAGACTGATGTTGTTTTAATAAAAAATGATCTCCCAACTTCAAATGATCAAATAATAAATATATATATATATATATATATATATATATATATATATATATATATGTATATATAAAATATAGATACTAATTTGAATAAATTTTTTAAAATATATATTTTTTATTTTTAATAGTATTATAATAAAAATAAATTTATATAATATAATATAAATATTCATGATACTTAAATTTATTATTAAAATAAAATAAATAATATATTTTAAATATTTATTTTAATAATAAATATAGATATCATAAATTTTTTAAAAATTATATTACTAAATTTTATGGTATTGGAATTTTCATACTAAGATAAGAATACTTATAAAAAAATATGATGAAAGACTTAAATAGAAGATTTTATAAAATTATACATAGTCTTAATCTACCATTGTTCTTTTTCATCTTGTAAATGCTGCAATATATAGCAATCTTGCTTCTTTAAAATATATATATATATATATATATATATATACTTTCTACATATTTAATAATTTTTTAATTTGGATTAGTATATAATATTGATATTTCTTAAATTTACCATGACTACAAGCAATTATTATATTTTAGTGAATAATAACTAATATGTTTTTTAAATAAAGTCATAATTTCTTTAAATTTTTTAAGTGAACAAAAAACACACTCTTATTCTTCAAATGCAAATCAATATTTTTAAACAAAGAAAACCAAAACCATACAATGAAAAGTAATTAGATTAAAATATCATACAATAAACAAAGAGATATTGTTAAGTTACTAGAAGGTTTAGAAGTCTTAAAAAATCACAATTTTAAAGAAGATTTGGCAATCGTATAGATAGCAAATAATCTTATTTTTACTAATACTATTATAAAACTAAGAGTATTTTTTGAAATTTCATACAAAATTTATTTTTTAATGAAATTACTTAATCATGCTTAATAGCCAAGCTATTGTAGAAGCTCATGAAGAAGCTTTATAACAAGACTTGATGCTTAAAATTAAAAATTATTAAATTATTTTTCAATAGTTTAAAAAAATATGAAAGGCACTAAAAAAAATTAAATTTCTATAATAATAATAATAATAATAATAATAATGCATATATATATAGATATTGAATTTTGTATTGTAATTTTTTTAAATTAATAAAATTATTATTTATTTATTTTGATATTTTATAATTAATATCTCTAATAAATCTTTACAACCATTAAAATAGATAGATAGTCACAATTTGTATATATTAATTTTTTTTTGTAATCGTCTATATTTATGCATTATTTTATGATGAGATACTATCTATTGTTGTTATAGAATGTTATATCCTATCAATATTTTCAATTGACACATTAATTATTAGTCTTGAGCTTTGAATTTAATAATTACAAAAGTTGCAATGGAAGTTGTCTCTATGATCTAATTTGAATTAGAAATATCTATGGCATGTGATTAGATTAAAGAAAAACAAAAACAAAAAAATGTTTCTATAGTTATTACAAAATCAAAGAGCATGATACTAGTGCATGCCACTATGTAAACAAAGTTTGCCACCTTTCATACATGGGTCACACCCAACCTTTAATTTTTAATACACCATCTTTAAAGTCAATTCTTTTTTTCACCTAAGTTTAATTAGGAATTATAACCATTTTTCACTACAGCTTGCATCTAAACCTTGTGGATCAAATAAAATGACCTAATCTTCATTGTACCATCTTGATCTCTATTCTAAGTAATTTATTCAACATTAAAACATTTTGTTAGAATGTTGTAGAATGAATTGGATGAAAACTCTACAATATATTTGTAAGTCCCCACATTAACATGATGTTATGTAAACCGCAAATTAGATCCTATGTAATTTTGTTTTTCCCGTGTAGTAGCAAAGAGGTTAACCCTCTTTTGTTTCAAAAAGAAATCCCTCTGCTCGCCCACATAGTCACCCTCTACAACTGAACATGGTGTCCGCTGTAATCGACCACCATCATACAGATTTGAGTGCGGCAATTGCTAAAAACCTCACTTTTATTCTACAAGATTAGCTAAGGGAACGAAGGAGATTCATTCGGTTGCATCGATTCCGAACTGCAGTCTCTTTCATGACGAGTGACAAATATGAATTGATTTGCTATGTCGAGGCAATGTCAAGAATCTTCACAGATCTGGTGGCTAATCTGGAGGACTCAGAGACGCGGGACATAGCGTCGGAACAGTTGTCGTGGTCCGAATACTGACTTGACATGAACTACGGAGACATTGTAATCAATTCGTTAAGAATCGAGTAAGCATAATACATTAATATGAACCAAATCTGATTAAGGAAGAATGCTGCGGGCTGGGGTTCAGATAGTGAAAATCCATCTTAGTTGAATGATTATGCGGACACGCAGAATCGTGTGATGAATTGTAAGTACAAGAACAGTTTCATCACATGCAATCGAACATAATCACGTACAAGATATACCCATGTAGTACATGGTGCGAAATAGAGAAGTTTCCGTGTTAATATATGGATTTCAGAATTAACATAGATCAGATGGATTTCACAATTGAAACATCAGAAATTAAAAGTGAGTGTGTTATGACTGTCCTTGCTTGTGAAGTTCAAGATAAGTAATAAAGCGAATATATGCCCCTCCCAAAAAATTAAAGGATCAGAAAAATACCATCCATGTAAATCACAGGGGATACTTGACAGAACCGTTGTTGTCATTTACTAAAACTCGAGTACCAAACGTTCTGATTCATACAACACGACTACTAAATCTACACTTCTACCCGATAAGTGGACCTCTACTCAACACCTGCACTGAAAATACAAACTAGTTCTTTCAGAACCAACTTCCACTTCTTTGACCTAACAAACAATCTTAGATTGCAATAATATTGAGGAAGTTGTGGGAAGATGCAGGGCAGAAAAGTGACGGTATGTTCGATCACACAAGGAACATGAATGATGCCATGACCTGCAACACTTGATGAACCTGTAGGAGGACTTACATGAAGTTGCTTTGATCAATGTGACACGCGTTTGTAGAAAAGAACATATGTATGCTCCTGTAGGACCTGGTTGATAGGAACTACAGATACTACTGCATCGTCAAACCTTAACCAGCGTCCGTCAGGCTGTCTACAATCAGCTGTGTAATGACCAGTAGATGGGTTATTTCCATGGTGAGTTACAGTTGCCACCAGCTCATATTTCCGTCCCTGCATTCCGATATCACAGCTATCGTCAAAATCAAATAATAATGGCACAACTGCTATTATCCATGAAAATGTATCCTTTGAACGGAATTATACTTCCTTGCAAGGATAATAAGATTGCAGAAGCATGGCAAGCAGAACATACCTCAGTAGCGGAACCGGTTGAAGTTGCTAGAAGTTCCCGTCCTATTGTAAGGGAATTGGAATATTTTATAGCCTTATTCAGCTTGCCACTGCCAGAGGCTCCATAACTAAATCGCATTAAATGAACAATCAGCACTGATGGTAATGACTGAATCTTAATAGCCTTGCTTGCACTGACCACTTCTGAAGCCTGTTCAAGATCATGATCCAAGTAGTATTAAATACTAGCAGCGGAAAGCCTAGAATACCAGTTCCTCAACACTTATCAGAGAAAAACTCTGAGCCATTTACTTAATGAGGTGATATTGCACGCATTCCGCACGTATGTTAACGTCAGACCATAACTTGAGGGATGTCAAAACAATCTCAAAAAGTATGTTGGGCAACTAAAAGTCGGGTAAATAACCTTGCTTGATGCTGCTTTGTAGCCTTCTAAAGATTCAGGTGCTGCAAAAAACCTGAGAGCATCCTCAATACTTTGTACAGCATCAGAAAGAATATCAAGATGCAAAACTAAAAAAGGTTGTACTGTTGCTGAAGCTTTGTTGCCTGTTCACAAATAAAAACATCCAGGTCAGCGTAACTCGAGTTATCTTTCATTTTCTCATTCACTGCACCACCCGTCAGAACATGAACGCCTAAAGGATTAACTTCGGATGATGCACGAAATTATTCAGTTGAATAAGCTCAAAACATCAATATTAGGGTTTACTAAAGGTAATACCTTTAGCCTTCACAACACTGCAGAGTTGGCCCCCAAATATGTCACTGAGTGGAGATTTTATGGTCATATGAGTCCGGGTCAAAGCACTCTTGTTTTTAGGGCCTACTATTTCCCACTCCTCATCATCAACCACTGCATTCTGCCCAACTATACTTCTGCCCTCAAGCCACAACAGCTCCTCATGCAGGCGATCCATTACATGACTCAGGAATTCTTGGGCGTCTTCCTGCCTGTCGAACGTAGTCAATCAAATAGCTCATGAAGGGGCACTGCAACCACTGAAGAAAAGGAGAAAGGAAGAAAGAAATAATCATAATCATAATAATAACAGCGGAATCTGGATGATAAATACCTTGGTCTCCCCCGTGGAGGCTGATCAGGGCTGAAACTGCGGAGAACATCATCAAACATCACTGGAGCGAAGGGTCTCCCAACATCTACTGGACCTAGTTTCTGGTCCTTCTGCTCAGGTTCACTTGCAACGCGAAATTGACCAGCAAAACTGGCGAATGCCCTTAGGGCTGGAAATCCTGTCTGCGACCACCAAAGGAAATTGAATGATTCCTCAGTTACAAAATATCAAAAAAAATTAACAGCTTTGAACAACTGATAACTGTGGACGTAACAATCATGAAACTTGAAAGGACAAGTTAGAGGCTAATTTCTTGTTGATATACACATTATGTAAACTACTCTTCATGCATGCATGGAATTCTAAACCCCTGCAAAGATGAACTTAAGACAACAGCTTAGTAAACAGCAACACAAAGCATGGGGATCATTATGTTGACTTTGCGTAGGAACTAACCGGGGGAAGGGTACGTGACTTTATGGTAGCAAGCAGGTTCAAAAAGGGTGGACAAGCTAACAATGCTTGCAGCGTAGAATTGGCGAAACACGTGTTGCCAGTATTGATCAATCCCCTTGGCTGCAGCTTGGGTACGGCTTCGGTTGTTAGCTTACTAGCGAGTCTTGCTACAGGCTTTCCTTGCCCTGAAGCCCTCCCAGAGATCCTGCCTGCATCACCAGGCACTGGTTGAACACCGACCAACGATGCCCATGATTTTGGAGCTTGCTTCGTATTCGAGCGATGGTCATTTTCAGCCAGAGCTTGTGCCTGGGCCTGCTCAACTCTACCTTCCTTACTAGGTTGTTTAGTATCTCCTTCATTCTCGAAGGTACCTGCCTCAGCTTCTGGACCCTTCTCCCTTCGTTGTACAGCTGCCTCATCTGCTGGTGTCCTCCTAGAGACATCTGTCGATCCCACTTGTACACTGGGAAGTACCGCCGCACCATTTTCCCCAGATCGTTCCTCAGGTGCAAAGGTATATGTATCATAAGTATGTAATTCACCAAGTCCAGTAAGATCACCAAATTGAAACGATGGCAACGAATCTCTTCCCTTGTGCAGCGCTTGCCTGACAGGAGGTGACGCCGATTGAAATAACTTTGCTTCATTCTCACTGAATGAACCAAATACAATCTGTTCAATCAACAAACAAGTCAGACGTATACCAAGGACCTAAATTTCTCTAGTGTTTCTGCACCACAGTCACCGCATATAACAGTCATTCGGAAGAGATAGAGCTAGTATGAATGTGGGCACTGCTACAACATACCGAGGACCTCAACTAGGATAAAGAAGTTTCTCAATCCAAGTGGGAATTCCAGCAGAGATAAAACGACGAAAGGCGCACTACAATAAGAAAATGAACAAATGTGGGACTTTTCTGATTTTGTCTGGCTCTTGGAAGATATATGTTACTCAGATCAAAGACGTGCAAAGGTATAATTAACATAATGAATGGAAATTCGAAGTCAACGAACCCCAAAATCGCCAAGAACTGTGCCCTCCTTCAGCTCAGATTTCTTCGGCAACTGCAACCACAAATTGATCACAACTTCGAATAATCAGCTTCAACTGCAGAGCCCTCTAAAAATGCACGACCAAACCGACAGCTCGTGTCTTCCAGTCATGCATCCTGCGTTGATACACAAAAAAACCCTCAGAGGCGGACGCCACAAACCAGAGCTTTCGCCGCAAACACTATGCCACAAAACCAAAACCCTATCTTTGAACACACCGACAAATCCACAGGCTTCCTTCCCCAGATGGCTACGGGATCCCAAACTTCAGTATGAGGGTACGATAAACGCCTACTCTCTCGCGATAGAGACCAAGGAATCGCAGGGCAATTGCCAATCCGCCAAACACAACGTCCGTCCTGAGGCGACACACAGAAAGTAACTGGAATACCTCATAGATCTTGTTCTGGCGATGATCAGCGAGGTTATCTGGTGCAGCGGTGTTCGGAGGACGCAAAGGCCCTCCTTGGCCCGCCATGGCTCACCACAACCCGCCCCGCACTCCGCCAGACCTCTCCGACCTCGTCGTCCACGTTCTACTCCTCCTCCTCCTCCTCCTCCTCACGGTTCTCCTAATCTTTCCCCGCAATCTCAATCACCTCCCCCTCTTCCTCCTCCTCCTGCCCCTCCCCCCACGAGCGGCGCTCCCTATCGGATTGAAATCCCGACGCTCATTCTCTGCAGCTAAGGCTGGAGCTACTGGGGTTGTGGCTTTGGCGAAACCCTAACGCTAACTCAGTCCAGAGTGTACACCAGGCAGAGATCTCCGTCGCAGCAGCGCTCCCTTAAGCTGCCGTTCCCACTGCCCTCCTTCATTCACTCACTCACTGAGCTCCCTCACTCGCTGCCTTTGCCTTTCACTTTAAAGTCTCGACACTTTTTGAGCCTTGCTTTTAAAGTGAAGAGGTTCCCTCCTTGTTCCCATTTTGTTCGTGTGGTTGGCTGTCCAAGTACAATTGAACTTGTACTCGTTGTATGTTATCTACATCGATTGGAGACAAATTTTATATTTCAAGAAAAACAAAATTTGATTGACTTGGGTATCAAATTCTGATTGCTAAAGTTATAGTTTTATTATTTCTAAATTAAATACAACAGAAAAAAATATACATACCTCAAGAAACTCATGAAGTATCTGATCAAAATTGGAAAAATAAAAATGAGTATAGAAGAAACAAATCATTTGCACATCTAAGAAGAAATTTATGTGAAATTACAAAAAGAACGTGACCAATGAGAGGAAGAAATTGGTTGAGATGGAAATCAATTTAGCGTAAGAATTAATCATTATAATAAAACCTTAAAATTTGAAGGATGAAGTAATGATAGAAATAAAAATATATAATGTGAATCAATGCAATGGATAGACAATAAAAAGGAACTAATTTTAATGAACCATTTTATAATTTAGAACATGTTGTCTTAATATTATATATATATATATATATATATATATATGTCCATTTCTTCAAGATCCACTGCCAAAAACATTTAATCTCAAATAGAGATGACAAACAAAACAAAGAGTTTCAAAAACTCATCTTATAACACCATGTAAATTATGCATTTAAATCTTTAGGAATAAAATCGACAGTAATTTCTTGAGAACTATAGTCTCATTTATGTTTGGATATTTGGAAAGCTTTAACATTGAATTGGTATACTTGCACAAGAAACATATTCCAAACTAAGCCATGCACAATTATAAAAATATATATACAAAGTAAATATGGCACAAAATAATAATTTACTAAATTAAAAATGCAAGAATTCTAATAATATATATGATACAAATTATGATTTTTATCATTTTTTTTCACTAGCTTATAATCTAATAGCAAAATCAATACAAGAAAAAAAGAAGAAAAAAAATTCAAATGAATATTCGTGTATTAAAGCAAGCACTGATAAGCAAAGCTACAATGTTATAATATTATATAAAGTTGCAATTCTTTTTCATAGATGTAGAATGCAGTTTGAAAAATATGTGACATGGTATTAAGATGGAGTGAATAATGACTGCAAGGAGTTAATAAAGGACATCTAACATACTTGCTACTTCAATATGTTTTAATTTTAATTTTAATTTTTTTAGTATCTATCAAAGATAGAATATTGATAACACAATCAAATATTAAAAACATGATTATATAATAAAACTGAAGGCCAATATGGAATAGAGATAAGTTTTTCAGACACGATACAAATAAATTTTATTACTGTATATAAAAAACTATTGAAGAAGTAGTGAATATTCAATTATTTAATTTGGTAAAAAGTTACAACTTAAATTCATGATAGATGTTTGAGGAACAACAAAAATATAAACATATTGAGGAATGGAAAAATGAATTCAAATCATTTACATATAGATGTGTTCTAAAGATAAGCATATGTATTTAACAATGAATAAAATCATAAAGTTCAATTATGAAATATAGCAAGAAAAAAATCATAAAAATATGTTAAAATTACATTCAAACTGCATTGAAACTATTTAAATTTAATTAAAAATACTATATTTTTTCATAATCTAAAAGATATTTAAAATAATAAAAATAATTCCTCAATAACTACAAATAACTAAATTAATGGTGTTTTCTACATACATAATCTCTTAAAATATTCTTATATAAGTTCATACTATTGAATTTAAAAACTGTAGCCTTTCATGTGTGATTTACAGAAAAAGAAATGACAAAGTTGTGTATGTATGTTGTATGTATGTATGTGTCAAGGACAAGAACATGATAAAGACAAATAAACAAGTGAGACTTCTCTCATAGAAAGATGACAAAATAGAAATAACTTGATATTTATATTAAGAAAGAAACTCGAATGGCTATTGCCAAAAGTCAAGAAAATTAGAGACCCTTGAAACTAGACTGGAATCAAGAAAGAAGTTGATAAGAGTGAAGAAGGCTTCATTCTTGTCTCTATATATATTATCTAACTAGAGGCTACATGGCAACGTTCTATAGGACCTCCAACATGTGTTGACTTCGTAGGACACATGCCTTGACTTACAAGGCAAGCTTTTTTACGTGAGGGCCACATAGTTAGCTTGGTCTTTAAGCTAATAACATGTGTGGCGCATGGCCAACTTGTTAACCACGTTTCTAATCCCAAAAAATCAATTAAAGATACCTATAAAGTCAAAGTAGTGTCTATAAAGCTTCTAGGAAGCTTTCATATCAAATACTATAAAATCAACTTACTTTTATCTATTTTTACTTAATTCTACCTATTTATACATGTAATTATTGGCTTACATGCATATGTTTATGACATTACCTCCTGTCAGGGACAAGAACTCGATGAAAGCTAAAGAGTAAGTGAGACTTTTCTCAAAAAGAAATAGGACAAAATAGAAATATGTATATTAAGAAAGAAACTGGAATGGCTATTGCCAAAATACAAGAAAACTAGAGACCCTTGAAACTAGACTAGAAGCAAGAAAGGAGTTGACAAGAGTGAAGAGGGCTTCACTCTTGCCTCTATATATACTATCTAACTAGAAGCCACGTGGCGATGTTCTATAAGACCTCCAATATATGTTGACTTTCTAGGCCACATGCCTTTGCTTGCAAGGCAAGTTTTCTATGGATGGACCACGTAGTTAGCTTGTTCTTTAAGCTTCCAACATGCGTGGCACATGGCTAACTTGTTGACCAAGTTTCTAACCTAAAAGTCAACTATAGACTCCTATAAAGTCAAAGCAGCGTCTATGAAGCTTCTAAGAAGCTTCTCTAGAAGATATTACACAATTAACCTACTTTTACATACTTTTATCTATTCATATAGGTAATTATATGTATGTCCGTGGCATTACCCCCCCTTCTAGGGACGAGTTCCACGAGGAGCGGTGATTATATATTGAGAAAATCTAATATGCGGCGAATTGTATTTGCTACATACTCTGATCTTTGTTCTCTTCGAAGATAGTTGATGGGTCCTCTTAGCCATCGATAGTGTCCCATTCCAGGGCGAGAAGACCACCCTGTTATTTGATCACTGTTGAGGCCTTCATAACTTCCTTCAAATAATACATTTGAAACACCATCAGGAGTCGTTCCTATCTCCAATAATATCACCAAACATCGAGAATCTCTTCCAAGGTCGTGATACCAAACGCGTTGTATCTCACCATCTATTCGAGGAAGAACATGTCGTTCTTGAGGGTCTTCATTTCGGTTGCGTCGTCTTGAAGGTTGTGACAATCGCAATGTCTCATCCGGTAAGTCAGTAAACGAAGGTTCTTGAGTTGAATCCGCTGGTTGTTGGCTCTCCATCTAATTAGCGTCACAAAATGCAAAGAAGTTACAAACAAGGATAGGAAATTGAATGTTATCTTGCCTCAATCTTGTCTCTTTTATAAGAGAGGTTTTCATCTTGGTTTTGATGGATGTCGTTGATGAAAAACTTTGACTTTAGCTGATGCATTTGCTAAATTCCTGGATGGCTCCCATGTGCGCTCACTAATATCATATCCGCACCAATGAACAAGATATTCCAGCTTATTTCGGCGCCGCCTTGAGTCTAATATCTCTTCCACCTCAAATTCTTCATTATTATCTACTTCTATAGGAGGCGGAGGCATTTGTCTTCTTCCTTGTATATCCACTGTCTTATATGGTTCAAGAAGAGACACGTGGAATACAGGATGGATCTTCATTGACTCCGGTAGATGTAACCGATATGCAACTGGGTTGATCTGTTCAGAAACAGAAAAGGGGCCAAGCCTACGATAGTCCAATTTGTCACAAGGTCGAGTGGTCTTAATATTGCGACGAAGTAGCCATACCTTATCACCCACGTTGAGTTGTGGTTGCTCTGTACGATATACATCTGCATTTATCTTTTGTCGTTCTTGAGCTTTCTTCAACTGCGCCTTCATTATTGCATGTAACTCTGACAACCGATTTGCCATATCTTCTGCTGCAGGATTATCAACTTTTGAAAAATCAAAAGTATCAAGTCGTGGATGATAGCCATAATTGGCAAAGAAAGGTGTTTGTTGCGTGGAGGAATGTACCGTATTATTATAAGCAAACTCTGCCAATGGCAGAAGGTTTGTCCAATCATCTTGTTGGTAGTTGATGGTACACCTTAAATACTGTTCCAAGACTTGGTTTACGCGCTCTGTTTGTCCATCAGTTTGAGGATGGAAAGCTGAAGATAGCTTTATGTCCACTTTTAAAATCTTGAAAAGAGTCCTCCAGAATCTCGACACAAATTGAGTTCCCCTATCCGATATGATATCTTTAGGCAATCCATGATAGCGATAGATATTATCAATGAAAAGCTTAGCTGTTTCTTCACCTGTGATAGATTTTGTACATGGCATAAAATGTGCCATCTTGGTGAAACGATCTACTATCACAAATATAGAATCATAAGATCTTGAGTTTGGAAGATCTGTGATGAAATCCATAGAAACAGAAGACCATGGTTGTTCTAGTATAGGTAATGGCTGAAGAAGTCCGTAAGGTCGATGTCGAGGAATTTTTGATCTTGAACAAATATCACATGATTGTACAAAGTCTTTGACTGACTTCCACATTTGTGGCCACCAAAAATCTCTTGATATGAGTTCCAGAGTCTTATTATATCCAAAGTGCCCTGCTGCTGGAAAGTCATGACGTGCTTGAAGAACACGCAAACGTGCTTTTCCTTCTGGAACATATAGGCGTCCTTCAAAATATAATAGATTATTCTTGAACTCGAACTTAGAAGAATCATGAGACTTGGAAGAATTATTCTCGATATCATGAACAAGAG